TTCTTGACCGAAGCAACGGTTACTCGTCCATGGAAGTTCAGACACCAGCACTGTAAGTGCTCATGCCATCTAGGAGCTTTGTTCTTTAGTATTGTGAAGCTGGAACCATCCTTGTTGGGTTTTTTCATTATCTTGGTTACATCACATGGCTTTTGGTCGGAAGAGAGTCCAGCGGATGATGATGATGGTGATGAGGATGGGCATCGGAGTGTGCTTACCATTCTTCTTGGACCTCTTGATTTCAAAAGGTTGAATTTATAAGAAACATTACCGACTTCAAAGTTGCCTGCTGGAACTTGAGGGCTTATCTGCTTTGACGCAAATCTGCGACTGGCTTTGCCATTTGAAGGTTTTGCTCCGTTATGTGGCGGTTGGCTATCATATACCGTAAAGTTCGTCCCAAGAAAATCTGATCTGCAGAAGTTTCCAAAAAATAAACAAGAACCTTAGTTTTCAAGCCACTCATCTTCTAAGCAAAAAACATCAACCCCTTAAAGAGACTCAAGATTTCAATTCCAAGAGTGGCAATAACAAATTTAAAACTTCTGAGAAGGCAATCCTGCTTTAGAGATTAAATGGCCACTTAGAATATTCAGTGTTGCGCATATCGATACCTTAATTTTCCAACATAGGCATTACTTCCTTGAGAGAAATCATCAGCATCAAGTGATATGATGTACTCAGTGTAAGCACCGGTCCTAAACCTCCGTGCCGCCAGAAGAAACTTTCCCTTATCAGTGAATGCTGGTGAACAGAAAATACAAACTAAATTAATAAATCCTGAAGATTATCTTTTGTCAGCAAAGGAAAGATTTAGTTAACTTGTTCCAAAACAGTTTGCTCTTCTTAAATAACCCCACTTGTAAAAAAATTAAATCTAACCATAACTATTGATATAACTCAAAATATCATTCAGTAATGTCAAGATACACACGAAAATTGATAGAAAAAGTATTAACAATGCCTTGCAAATTACTTCACTAGTCAACTCCTATAAAAGACTGAAGCTCAGAATTTTCTTCATCATCACACAGGTCAACAAAAAAGTCAACACTTTATTAATGGCAATTGGTTGGTAAGTTGTTTCAATGACAAGGCAAGGCATTATTTGGTAAAAGACTTAAGACAAGTTTAAATTGCAAGCCTAGGAAGTCACTAAATTCAATCGTTTTCACACTTTAAAAACCTACCTAAAACTTTCAAAGCCATATATTTTTCCAATTTAGACTAAATCAACCATAAGAATGAAGCTAAAGGAAAAGTATTACTTACATGGTGTTAGAGCAAGATACAAGTAAAAGGTTGATGTCTTCTTGTTCCTCTTTATCAAGCACTGATTAGAAAAGTCTCTAGGACCTGGCTGCATCTCAAAAAAACACTAACAAATCTCAAATCTATTGCCTTTTTTTAAAAAGAATTTTCATCAAAAACGCACCAAAATTCGTGGTAAAAAGTTGAATTCCAACCCGAACAAATTGCAAAATGCGTTTTTATACCTCAACAAAAACACAATGTCTTTTTCAACCTCAACGCTAAAATAATTCAAATAAAATTCATATACTAAGATTGATTTAGGTAATTCAACAGTTCCTCTTAATGAGAAAGAGACAACAAAATTCGCAGATTCACCTAAATCGATTTCCTAAATCAAAGGCGTACCAATTTGAGGCAAGAAGGGAAAGTAATTTTGCCAGAGTTAAGAGAAGAGGATCTAGCAAAATCCTGAGTAATTTCTCTCCATTTCTTCGAGACGCAAGCGCAAGTGACTACATCACGGCGTTGAGGCCAACGGTCTTCAGTTTCCTCCACGCGACGAATGATCTCGCCTAATAACTCAGGGAGCATCGCCGACCATGAAGAACCGGCCATATTCGACGGCGGAGGAATCGATTCGTACGAATCGGATTCCGGTGCCGTCGTCTCTCCCTGATGATGAAACCTAAACGAGTTCGAGATCCTCCGCGAAAGGAGGGACCGTGACAAAGGCATTTGTGAAGAGAGAGATGTTTCGATCTGGAAATAGAGAGAGAAGGAGGAGAGAGAAAGTAGAGAGAGAAAGTAGAGAGAGAAAGGATGAGATTTGCTTTCTGGGGAAGATAATAATAATACCAACGTGCGAAATCTAGAAGGGAGTGATATTTTGGGTAAAAGTGACGGCGCTGTGAGATATGAATAGGTGACAGATGTTTTAAATTGTGACACGTCTCCTACTTATAAGTGGTGGAAAAAGTGAGAAATCTAATTTATATGACACATACGTCGGTTTGATGGTTCATGGAAAGCTACAGATCCAACAATGGGTTTAGGTTGGTGGTGTTTTCAGCATGGAAAGCTACAGATCCAACAATGGGTTTAGGTTGGTGGTGTTTTCAGGGAACTGCTCAAACTATACTGCTTGGTGCAAAATGCCTTAGGAGAACGCTCTCACCCCTCCATTCGGAAATGGATACTTTAATTTGGGCCATGAAGAATTTCCTTTCAAGAAGGATTGCTTGTCAGGCGTTTGAATCAGACTGCTCAGAATTGGTCTCGATGGTACAGTTACCTGACGAATGGCCAGCTTTCTCCAACCTTCTAGACGAGTTTGGTTTGCTACGTGTTTCCTTTCCCTCTTTCTCACTTTCCCTTATTTCTCGTTCTTGTAATTTAAAAGCGGACTGCTTAGCCCGCTCTTCTAGACTTTTATTTTCTGAAGCTACCTTTGTAAACATTTCTCCTCCTAGTTGGGCAACCAACCAAAGAATTTTTTAATAAATGTGTGGTTGACAAAAAAAAAAATGACACATACATAGTAGCACAATAAACCGGATATAACGACTAAACCGGATACACGATGTTCTTTTTTTTTTTTGGTTTAATGTTAAACTACACGATGTTCTTTCATAGCATATCACATCTCAAAGACAAAGAGTAATCTTCAAGTCACAAGCTTCAATATTTACCTTCTTTAACACTAGATAAAATTTCATTGGTTCTACGGAGATTGAGGTTAGTAGATGAAGATTTCGATAATTGTTATAGTAGTCTTTGTGAGAAAATCTTTAAGATTAAGCTTTGAAATTTTTAGTTTTTGTTTTTCAAAAACTCATTTCACACTAATCAAGTTTTTCAAATTTTGGTTTCCCTACAATTTAGGAAATTATTTTTGTTGAGATCACCCATTCAAGTTTTCAAATTTTTAGTTTTCTTACCATTTAGGGTATCTAGTTTTTTTTCCACCTACGTTATTTTACTCAAAAATCAAAAACTATTTTTTGGGGATTTCTAAAGCAAAACTCTAATCACCAAATCTAAAACTAAAATCTAAAATCCAAAAATTAAAAACAAAATCTAGAAACCAAATTTAAAAACAGCATCCATTCATGGCCTTAATATTGAAATAGATTTACTTGTTTAACTAAGGTTTAGTAATTTATTTTGTCACTTTTTGGGCGTGTGTACTGTGTAGTTATCATAACTTAGAGATATGTTATAACATTTGTATTTTACAAAAAATTTAATAATGGTCCGTGTAATATTACTAAGATGTAAATTCAATCGTTACGATATTTACATTTATGCATGAGTTTGGTTTATGTGTTGTTAATTTTGTGAATCAAAGATTACACTTAAATGGGGGAGGAATGTTGGATATTTAAGTGTATGTACATCGACGGTTATTCACGAATATTGGATATTTAAGTGTACGTACATCAACGGTTATTCACTAACCATCACAACTTTTTGTACAAACGGTTATTATATTAAACGTACGGTTGCAAACGTACGTTAATACCGTTGATCACTATAAAAATCTGTTTCTCTTGTGTAAAAAGAAAGAGAGAAGGACAAAGCACGAGAGTTTCACAAGATCAAAGATTAAAAGAATCTTTGGTGATAAACACATAAACAAAACACAAAATCTCTGTTTGTTTCTCTTGTATCTTAGCCTAGAATAAGAGAGAACTTTGATTGTTTTATCCTAGAAGGGATTTCGTGTAACCCAAAGCTTGAGAAGGGTCGAAATACTCTTTAAGGAAAGTGCTCACGTGCGCGATTCAATCATTTTCCAAATTCACGTTCGTTAAGTCCCGGAGATACAACAAGATTTCTCAACAATCTCCACACGAGTGATGTTACCGTAAGAGTATCCAATATCTACAAACACTCACAGTGATGAAGTCATGGCAGTGGTCTACATCTTTTTTTACATGAATAAATCCAGAAAATATTAAAGAGTTCGTGTAGTACTTCTGCATGATAAATGAAATCCAAACACAAAAACGATAATTGCATCAAATAAGAAACACACAACAATAATAATAAAAAAGGACAGAAAACAAAATAAAATTACTCAACAATAAAATAAAACAAATGTGCATGGGATTTTGGTCTGGGGATAGTTAGAGCTGGCCCAACTAAACGTTAAGAGCATCTCCAACCATGAGTTCTCAAAATTATTTGAGAGATTTCAAAATATTATATAAAACAAAATATAAATTAAAAAATGTGAAGAGTTTCTTAAAAGAGATGAAAGGGGTTCTCAAATGGGATTTTAGTCTGGGGATAGTTAGAGCTGATCCTTTTAGAGCAAATTATGTTTAAAGGGAATAAAACAAGAAGTTAAGAGTGGCTACTAATACTACTAACTACTAGGTGGTTTTACATTTTGTAGAGGTAGAGTACTATGCATTTCTACTTTCCTATATATATGTGATTTTAGTCAAATTATGACTTGCTTGGATATCTACGTTTTGTCTGGACTTAGATAACCCGAAATAAAGAAATGGTATGTTAAAGTGAACTTTTTTTGTTAGACATCAACATGAGTTCGTTTATAATTTCCTTTGTTCTTTGGCGAATTTTGGAGAATTCATTTAATCGTGCACGACAGGAGCCATAACACTTAAGTAAAGTTCATAGATTACCTTGGGTAACGTGACGCCATTCATAGAAACCAAAAACTGAAAATACATAACATAGAAACCGAACTGCAAAATACAAGAGAGAGAGAGAAATCGGCTAAGAGTTTTATTTTATTTTATTTGTTGGACAAACGCATAAATGGTAGCGAGAAAGACTCATGTAGATTATAAAGACATGAAAACATATAATTTCACCCGCCAACTTGATTAAGCAGAGTCAACAGCTGGAGCAGCAGGTAGGTCGAGGCAGATGCACATTTTGACTACTGGTTCTTCAGAGGGATTATCGTCAGCATCATCAGTCAAAGTTAGAGCATACTTTAAACGATCATCCTTCACAGGTAAAAAAATAATAAATGAGTTAATTCAGTGTTTTGACATCATAATTTTTCTATGCAAAATAATGTAAGAATACTAACCAAACTTCTGGCGCCCCAAGGAAAATCAGAAAGAGTGAAATTGAAGTTGGTGCCAGGTTCAATTTTTCTATGCAGGTCATATTGGTCGTAGAGTCTTAAAAAGCGTATAAGGCCGTAACCTTCAAGTTCGAGGTCCACGGATATAGTTGGTGCGTGGATGGTTTGGGCTGTACGCACAAAATATTTTATCAAGAGAATATATATTGGAAAAAAAAAAAAAAGAGTTGAGACATAGAAAGAAGATCATTATAAATATTATTTACCTTCATCACTTGCATAACCGAATATAGTAACAGTTGGGTAATCATCATCGGGGGAGATCTCCACACGAGTGATGTTACCGTAAGGGTATCCAATATCTACAAATACTCATAGAGATGAAGTCATGGCAGTGGTCTACATCTTTCTATATATAAATAAATCAAAAATGCAAAGAATTCGTATGTCAAACAAATAAGAATAAGTGCTCTGTAATATGTTGTAATATTATTACACTGAAGACACACACGATTTCACAGAGAAATTTAAGACTAACGAATTGATACTTATATACCGTTGCAGTAATGGAAATCAACGGCGCGCAAAGCAGGTAAGCAGAAGAGTGATGCAAGGAGAAATAGCAGGGGTTGGACGTGAGATATCGCCATGGATCAGCTCGTCGATTTTTGAAAGAGGAAAAAGATTTTGTTGTTTTTTTTTTTCTGTTAGTGTGCAAGTACATGTTATGCCTTCATCTATGCCTACTATTTATTGTCTATAAATTATAATATTTTTGCTAAATTATTGGATCGGATCAAAGAGATATCACATATTAAAACGAAGAAGATCACATGGAAGTGATATCTCTATGTATATATAATAATCTCCCACGTTATACGCGAGAATTTTAAAAATGAGTGTAATGATGTCTGCTATAGGATCATGATGTATGATTTGGCTAAAAAGTGTAATGTTTCTTCTTTTTTTTTGGTGAGTCACGGGTCCCCGCAAAATTTATTCAAACTGAAAAGAAAAAAATTACATCCGGACCGATCTCGGAAACGAAGTTCCTTAATCATCCTCCAAAATAATAGTCTCCACTACACTCGGAGCTAAATCGAACATATGAAAGCCAAGCGGCAAAGTGAAATCATAGTTTGCTAACCCGTCGGCAAGACGGTTAGTCTTCCTATACACATGCGATATCCGGACTATCCAGTTTCTAGTAAGAAAGCCATGACACAAGCGTACCAGGAACGACAGGAGGTGCGAATCACTGATCCCTGATTTTAAAAATCCCACCACCAACTCCGAGTCGACCTCCAACTCTAACCTCGTGATCTTCAGTGTAATGTTTCTTTTTGCAATAGCTATAATAAGTCTTGTTTTTAAATACTTATTTACCTCAGATTTCTGTTAAATATCGATCTTAGAAAATTAATAAGTCTCATTCATATATGAAAAATCTTTGAGTATATACTTATATTGAGTATGTTTATTTTTCTTTAATATCGAATGGAAATTTTTAAGATTCTAAAACGTAAGCACACCCATAGTGGTTAAACGCTCGAACCTCCTAGTATCCAATATTAAAAGCGATATAAGTCTCATACGAAAAACTTAGCCCACATAATTAAATAATTATGTTTATATGTCTGATACGAACAAATGATATCCTAGTAAGAAATTAGTTTACCAATTTTTTTTGTATGATCAAGTTTGCTATTTAAGTAACTAGGATCCAAACCTCCCGTAATGTTGCAGGGAAAAAAATTTCAAAAATCTTTAAAGAGAAAACTATCAAACGAAATGTCATATAATGAATTGAGACAATTTTTTGAAAATTTTTTTTAACAATAAACCAAGATCTATTTTATGAAAAATTATGATAAAAGATGTAATTTGAAAAATCAAAGCAGCGAAGCAGCCCTCGACCATTTGTTGTTGGACACTCTCTTCTCTGATTGGTCCATGTGGTACTGATTCATTTCTTTTCTCTTTTTTAACATGTTGAACTAATTCAACACCAAAAACTTGACATTATTTCAACACCCTAATTCAACAATTTCATTAAACCTATTCAACTTATTTAACATCTCCATTGTAGATGGTCATTGTTGGTCGAAAAAAATAAGAAATCTAATTTATATGACACATCACACATTAGCACACTAAACGGATATGACACTAAACCGGATACAAAACCCAACCCACAAAAACTTTACCATAAGCTGGCAAAACTACTTAATTTGAGTGTGAAATGAAATATTACATACACCGCCACATTCACGGATACACAAGACGCCCAAATCATAATGTTCTTTTTCCTTTCGGCCATGAAATCTAAAACTCAAACAAGCTCCATTGACGTAGATGAGAGAAACAATCGTCAGCTCCAATTTATTCAAACTCAGACCAAAGGCACCAAGAGATACATTAATCCGCAACCGCAATTCCGTCTTTAAAATTGAAAACCTCGATCCAGCCCTTAAACAAGGGAGGATCTAAGAGTTACAAACTTAGATCAAAGGAACAAGAGGAAGCAATCCAAAGCCACTTCAAATGAAAGTTCTTTTCTTTGAATTTTTGACTATTAAGATTTTAAAGTCATCTATCTTGTGGTGGAAAATTTAGTCACAATGGGCACTGATGGAAATTTGTTTATTTCATCAACATTGCCATTGCCATTGTCCCAAAACAATTGAAGGACATGTCACAAGAAACTATCAGCTTTCCTTTTTGTTTATTACATCTCTCAAGTCTCAACCTTCATAGCTCCATAGCTCATAAAACTTCACTGTAATGTCGATGGAAGCCACTGACCAGTAATATAAGAGTGAAATATCTACCGGGTCGGTCCCTCACACTCGTTGCCACACCTCGATGTGTTAATGGAATCCCCAACTCTGCTGCTATCCCCGACGCTGCAGTAATCCTTGCCATCATAATCACAAATTTCTAGTAAGGCGAGACAAAGTTTCACCATAATAAGATTAACAGCATTAAAGAACGAAACATCCACATTGATCAGATAACAAGAATGATGAATAACAAACAAACATTACCAGGGAGATAACTTGAACTCGAATCCCTTGTTGTTAAGAGATGGTGAGAGTTAAGAGTGTAAATCATTATCTAAAGTAGGCCAAACAAATTGTGGAAATCAAACTTGTAAAAGTTTTATTAAATAAAAAAAAAGAAAAAAAGAAAGCAATAATTGAAATCAAACTTGTAAAAGTTCTTCTTGTTGTGCACTGGCTTCAGCGAAAGTCTCTCAAGGAATGGTGATCAAACTGGGAACAAAGACAGAGGATTCAAACCTGCATACCACTTCATCTATCTTAATCTTTTTGTACACATCTCCCCTCACAATATGCACCCAAGCTTGTTTAGGTTTCTTGGTAGGACAACATAGAACGAAGCTCTTCCCATAGATATTATCATCGACGAAGTAACTTGTAGAATAGTGATTAAGTACCAAGGGGAAGTTAGGTATTGAGACAGTCATGAACTTAATCCACACGACATCGTCTCCATCATCCCCATTACCAATTTTATTCTTTGTCACCCAAATCTCAATCTCCCTTGTTCTTTTGCATTGTTCCATCACTGAAAACCGATCTCCCTTGTAAATAGAGAGGATACGAGTATGTGTAGTACTTTTTTTCGCCTTACACGGTAGAATACAAAACATCTTTAATTTCTCTTTCGAAAAATCGAGCATTCGGATGAAATACTGACCAGTTTCGCAATACTTATAAGCTGTCCAGTACAAATTTCCATTCAGGGAAACCCTAGAATTACCAGACGATTCGTCCATTATTAACCTTTCGTGAAAACTGGTATGATCAGTAACCTTCCACGTATTTGTTGCAAAATCGAAGACCGAAAAACGCCTAACAACTTTATTGAGCGAATAAGTAGTCAAAATCGAAATAATCTTGTAAATCTTTTCGGTTCTACTACCATCATAACCCATGCTCTTGTCGTCCCATGGAACACTATCCTCGGCAAACCATTTGGTATGTCTCAACAACGGGTTCGAAATCACGCCTCCGCCTCCGCTAAGAAAGTCATATATGAAGAAGTAACCATCGCAGGTCCCATAGAGATGATAACTGCGACGGCGTAAATCAAAGCATAAATCACTCACTTTTATACTTGGATCGTCATTGAGATTGACGCTTATCGAATAGATATGGGAATGTGTCTTTAACATGAATTCTGAGCGACCGCAAGCAAAGTTTCTGTTGACGAATCTCTTAGTGTTGAAAAGAGTTTTCCATTGTTTGCAAACGGATCTGAAGCCAACGAGAGATCGAGGTGGAACTCGAACAAGCATCCCTTCTTCCAGATCTAATGGAGGCGTTCTCGCCACTATTAGGGTTTTCTAATGTGTTTTTTTCATCTTTGGGGAAGCATTTTCGACCTACATGTATATATGCCAACGTTAATTTCAGCCAGAGACCTATTTCTTTTACCGCTTGGTCCGCTTCTATAGGATCTGGAAGTATATATATATAAATATTTTTATAGCTATTTAATACTAAAAATGCAAAATAGGCCTTGGTTTTTGGTAGATTTTTTTCAAAAATGAAAACTGAAAAGATTTTTGTTGAACTTTGTAAGTTTCTTTTCACTCTTTCTCTTCCTGATTTTCTTAACATATGTTTTTAATTTTATAATTTCACATTTTACAACATTGATTACACATACATACTTATAGTAGGAGTTTTTCTTGCTCCATACTCTCACTTTCTTAACCATAAGCTCTAGCTAACCTATTCTCCTTAGATGCACTGATCAATAGCTTTAGGTCTAAGCTTACAAGCAAAAACAACTAACCACTCTCTTACACAGCCACTTAGGCTAACAACTCACTTAACACAACCAAACTAAGTTAACACTAGTACTTGGGACATAACAACAAGTCAAGACACTTACACGAATGGGCCCAACTTAACCCAAGTAAACATTCTTGTGCTGGGCTTAAACCAACAAAGGCCCAAAGCACTTCTTAAAAACACTTTGATTTCTTCTTCTTCTTTTCTTTCGTCGACGTCACCAACGCTTCTTCTCTTCTTCACTAGATTCAGGGCCTGACTGGTTTAAACGCAGCGGTTGCGGTTGCGGTTGCGGTTGCGGGAGTTTGCGGAAGCGGGCGGTTGCGGCTTTAAGCGTTATCAAGCGTTTTGAACGACTGGTTTAGCGTTTGAAAATGAGTGCGTTTGCGGGAGTTTTATGACTGGTAAACCAGCGGGTGCGATAGCAGTTAAATAAAAAAATGACCAAAATAAATAAAAAATATTACAAAAAAAAGAAATAAAAACACCAATATATTATTATGATAATATTAGAAAAATTTGAACATGCTTAATAATTAAAACCATAAATAAAGTACTAAATAATTATTCAAAAATAAAGAAATTTTGTAACAAGATAGTACTTTATGCATCTGGTTTAACATAAAAAATTGCATTAAGTAATGGGACAAACTGTAAATAACGTTGAATTCAATCAAAAAGCAAGTGAGTTTCTATTCGAGAAAACAAATCGAAACATATATTCAATCAAAAAGCAAAGCAATACGTAATAAAAAAAAAAAAAACGATGCCATGAAAAATATTCAAAAAGTTACACATGAGGTGATGAATGAATAAAAAAATATATGATACTTACATTTGGTTATTGATTTTCATCAGTTTGGGTGGAAGACATTGAGAGAATAGAGTTTCAGAATATTATTAGGGTTTCTGATGAGAACGTGATACAAAGTGATACAAAGATGAAAGATATATATAGGATTAATATATATTATAATAATTATAAGTAAATGTTTGATTTTCTGTTTTTTTTTTTTTTTTTTTTAATCCAACCGCTACCGCCCGCTACCGCAAACGCTTGCGGGAAGGAGCTTTTGAAATTCAGCGATTTCGAGCGGTTCGAAGCGGGACGGAGCGGTTTCTATGATTGGTACCAACCGCTAACAACCGCAATCGACCGCTAGCAACCGCTAGGAGGGTGCTAGCGGGAGAACCAATCAAGCCCTCAATCGGAGAGATTAATCTCAACAATTTTCCGGTATATTAGGACATATATGACCAAAAAAAAAAAAAAATGACCAAAATTTCTAATATATTGTTTAATTCAGGTTATAACTAACACATTGAATATTACTGAATATTGGATTGTGATTATTTAATTATTTGTAGCTTTAGGGCGTATGAAACGAACATGCGCGGATTAAATGCAAGGAAGAGAATAGAGATGGTACAGTACTGGAACTTGCTACCATAAACTAAAACTATTTTGGGGTCAAAATCATCTCTCAGCTGGTGGATCACTTCTCATGGTTCTGTGTATAAGACCGTTTCTACCGTTTGCTAGGAGCCAGTCCATTTACTGGCAGTGTATTAGAGCAACATTATTGGTAGTCTCTTAATATTGGTTCTTAGCATTAGATGATGGACACTTAGCTAAGAGACACCTTTTAACCCACCAAATGTGTAAGAGACATTCTTAACAATTTTAAGATATTTGCTTTATTTTTATCTATTTTAAGCTAAGATTTTTTTCTAAAATCTTCCTAAGAGACTACCATTAATGATGGTCTTAGTATACTAATCCTAGCTAGATAGTAATCCTTGCAGTTTTTAGAGCATTCATGGATCATAGTTAGAGATGCACCAGACAAGCCCTATTGATATTGTTGTGTTATTTTGGAAAAAAAACATTAAATATTAAACGGCCAAATAAAAAATAAATGACTGGTTTTTTCGGGTTTTTTTTCCGTTATATTTGTTTTTTAGGCTTATAGACTTTAGACCCATTTCGCCGTGAAACCCATGTCCGCCGTGAAATCTGTCTCTTCCTTCAGGCTCGCCTCTCTCCTCCGCCGTGAGAATGATCCTTCCGCCGCAATTAAGCTTTTCCGTAACCCTGATCCAGAATCAACGAACCCGAAACGACCCTTTAGATACTCGCTTCTTTGCTACGATATTATTATCACGATACTTGGTGGCTCCAAGATGTTTGACGAGCTAGATCAGGTACTTCTCCAGCTAAAGACCGATACTCGGATCGTTCCTACAGAGATTCTGTTCTGCAATGTAATCAATTTCTTCGGCCGTGGAAGATTACCTAGTCGTGCACTCCACATGTTCGACGAAATGCCTCAATACCGTTGCCAACGCACTGTGAAATCCCTGAACTCTCTCTTGAATACACTTCTTAAGTGCGGTGAGTTTGAGAAAATGAGGGAACGTCTTTCGACTATTGATGAGTTTGGTAAGCCTGACGCTTGTACTTACAATATACTTATCCATGGATGTTCTCAGAGAGGGTGTTTCGATGATGCCTTGAAGCTATTCGATGAAATGGTCAAGAAAAAGGTGAAGCCCACTGGGGTAACCTTTGGGACGTTGATTCACGGGTTGTGCAAGAATTCGAGGGTGAAGGAAGCTTTGAAGATGAAGCACGATATGTTAAAAGTGTATGGAGTATGTCCCACGGTTCATATTTATGCGTCGTTGATTAAAGCGCTTTGTCAAATTGGTGAATTGAGTTATGCATTTAAGCTTAAGGATGAGGCGTACGAAGGAAAGATTAAAGTAGACTCAGCTATTTACTCTACGTTGATTAGCTCGCTTATAAAAGCTGGAAGGTCAAACGAGGTATCGAGGATCTTGGAAGAAATGAGTGAAAACGGATGCAAACCCGACACAGTGACTTACAATGTACTGATTAACGGGTTTTGTGTTGAGAATGATTCGGAATCAGCTTATCGAGTTTTGGATGAAATGGTTGAAAAGGGCTTGAAACCAGATGTTATAAGCTACAACATGATACTTGGTGTCTTGTTTAGAATCCAAAAATGGGAAGAAGCAACTTACTTGTTTGAAGATATGCCCAGAAGAGGTTGCAGCCCTGATATCTTATCTTATAGAATAGTTTTCGATGGGCTTTGCGAAGGTTTACAATTTGAAGAAGCTGCGGCTATCTTGGACGAAATGCTTTTCAAAGGTTATAAGCCTCGCAGGGACAGGCTAGAGAGATTTCTGCAAAAGCTATGTGAAAGTGGAAAGTTGGAGATTCTAAGTAAAGTTATCAGTATTTTGCATAGAGGGAATGCTGATGATGCAAATGTATGGTCGGTTATGATACCTACGACAATGTGCAAAGAACCCGTGATATCGGAGTCTCTTGATTTGTTGTTGAACACAGTAAAGGAAGATGGTCCTTTATCAGCAAGGCCGCCATGCTAGGTCACCTGTCGTGCAAGTTAATGTTGCTGTGAACCTTGTTCTGGTTCTGGTAATACAGGGCAAGGAACAAAATAGAAGAGAGATTTGCAAAGCTCTCTGGTAATACAGGTGAATAGTTACCACATGGGCTCTCTTCAGTTTAGATAATGGAAGAATGTGCTTAGTGCTCCTATTCAAAGCTCTTACCTCTTGTCCATAGCTTGTAACGTGGTGGTACAGAGGAATGATCTCATCGCTGAACCAAGCTCTGTTATTGAGGTATGAGTTTCCTTCTTGGAGTTGATTTAAAAGATAACTTCTTAATATCATGATTGTTTGATATTTACTTAACTTTGGATTAACTAAAGTACGCTTCTAATTTTAATCCAAATAGAAAATGACTAAATATAAAGGTCGCATTGGTTAAGGAAGAAAATGTATACTATTTTGGTTTCTTATTGCAGAGAGATCATGGATACATACAGTGATTGTTGTTTATGCGTTGGCTTTGGTAGTGGAGAGCTGCTGTTGTGGTGGCTTTGATCATGGATACAGTGACGGTGGTGTCGGCAAAGGTTAAAGGTGGTGATGGCGGCAGCAGTGGTACAACGACTTCAATTCGTTTGACGAAAATGTTTCCGTCTTCCTTACTTTGTTTTGGCTAAAAACTTGACCAGAGAGAAATCCATTGATTGAAACTGATCCATACGTCTTCAATAAGAACCTCCACCAGAGGAATTCATAATCGATATGGTCAACCTGCAAAACTCAATTCATAATTTGGTTTATTTACGTACATATAAATCTATGTTATTTCTCGCTGTATTTGGGGTTTGTTAGAAATAGAAAATTTCCAAACGTTACTAAAAGTTTGTACAAAAAAATATAGCCGTTTGATATTTGCGACCATAAGTTTAAAATCAAAACATGAATGTAACTAAGGGTATTTCCGTCATTTACACTTCCGAGAACCCTAGATTTGATTCCCAGGTTGTTCTTTCGTTAGTTTCAAAAAGTCTTTAGCTTTGTTTTCTTCTTCGGCTAATCCAAAATTCATCACTTCCGATTCACACTCTCTGTAAGTTTAGTGTTTTTTTGCCAACTGTTTGATTTATGAATTGCTTCTGCAAATAATTGGCAATAAGAAATTTTATCACTTTATCTTCCCAATTTGTTCTTGTGAAGTTATTACATTAATAAACTTCAGTTTCTTGTCTTAACTCATCTCGGAATCAGCTCTTTGACATAAGTGTAGAGCTCTCTGTATAAAAAGTTTTGATCTTTTTTGGTTTTCAGGAATGAATCTTGGAGTGAAGAAGATGGTGCAGAAGAAAATGGCTGTTCTTTACCATTATCCTTGCCATGACGGTGTTTTCGCCGCTTTAGCTGCTCATCTCTACTTCTCAGCAAAGGCAATCCCTTCATTGTTCTTCCCCAACACAGTCTATTCTCCAATCACAATCAACCAACTTCCACTTCAAGAAATCAGTCATCTTTATCTTCTTGATTTCACAGGACCTCCTGGTTTTGTTCACCAAGTCTCTCCTAAAGTCGACAATGTGGTGATCCTCGATCATCATAAAACCGCTATTGAGAGCTTAGGTGATGTCTCTTTGACTTGCAAGAACGTTACTAATGTTTTGGATATAGAAAGAAGCGGTGCGACTATTGCGTTTGATTATTTTACTCAGAAGTTGGTTGAAGAATGTAGAGGAAGTTGCAAGGAGATGAATGATTTCAAGAGAATGAGACGTGTTTTCGAGTATATTGAAGACGCGGATATATGGAAGTGGGAGTTACCAGAGAGTAAAGCATTTAACAGTGGAATCTTGGACTTAAAGATTGAATACGACTTCAATCAGAACCAATCATTGTTTGATCAGCTACTCTCATTGGATCATGAAAGTGTGATAAACAGAGGAAAACAGAGTTTGTCTAAGAAACATAAACTGATTCACGAGGCGTTGGAACAGTCTTATGAGATTGTTCTTGGAGGTGACGAAGAGTTTGGACGGTGTTTAGCTGTAAATGCAGATGAAATTGCAGAGCTTAGAAGCGAGTTAGGGAATCAATTGGCTGAGAAGAGCAAGAATCTGAAATTTCGAGGTATTGGAGCTGTTGTTTACAGAGTTCCTGAGCTTGGGGATGAGAACAAACTGAAAATTAGTTTGAGGAGTGTTGCTGAAGAAGACACAACACCGGTTTCTCAGAGATTCGGAGGTGGTGGTCATAAAAACGCAAGCTCCTTCTTGTTAAACTCCATGGAGTTCGAACAATGGAAGGTGAACAGAAACTCTTCTAATACATTAAACTAGAGAGTTGTTTGAATCAGCTATTTAGCTCTCTGTATGGAATGGTTATTCGAACCCGTTTGGTTTACGGCATTGCCAATTTTCGGTAGTTTAAAACCGGGTTTTGGTTTGTTTTTCTACTTTTCGGTTCATCCGGATTCAGGTTACAATGTTTGGATTTCTAAGAAGTATAACTAATTGTAAGCAAGTTAACATTTATTTGGTTTGGATTGCAACTGCCATATAACTAGTTGATACATAGCAGTATGAAGAATAATTAGTTGATACAGAACATGCCAATGAAACCAATTGGAGTTGTGATAAAGCCATTGCTTGCAGCAGCCTGCAGGACTCATGGGAACAAAACCAAGTTGAAAGTTCCACAAGACAGTACAAGTCAGATTGGCATATTATCTCCATGGATCTCATACTGAACATGTGGTTTGGATTCAAGGTAAATTACTTACACATTAGCTCCATTGACTTTTAGCATCCCATTTCTCTAAACACTATGAAACTTCAATTATTCGGATAGTACAAGTTAGATCAGCAAATTGATACTTTACATGTGTAAGTAATGGGGACCTCAAAGGAACTTTATTGATATGATGCTGAGTTTCAAGAATAAGTTTTAATAAAATATCTCCTAGTTGATGAGAATGAAGAATCACAGGTGGCAAAATCGATCATTATATAGTCATAAGACTCATAACATATTTTACTGTGGATAACCCTCAGCCAATGAATTTGTAGCTGGATAACGTTGACTTTGAGTCAACTCTCTCACAAGACTCTTGAAAGATTGATCTCTCTTCTTCTAAAAAAGGTCGTAACCAGTGGCAGAGCGATTCAGAGAAGGTCACTCTTGTTATTTTATTAGTTTCATATGTATTTTTTCTTTCTGCTTGTTTTGCTTTGATCCATCTTTTATACTTTGTTGTGGTGAGTCGAATCTCATTTACAACAACCTGTCAATGAAATTTTCTCATAAAGGTTTATGGCTGAGGCAGTAGTGTCGTTTGGAGTTGAGAAGCTCTGGGAGCTTCTGTCTCGAGAATCTGCGCGATTGAATGGAATAAATGAGCAAGTTGATGGACTAAAGCGTCAGCTGGGAAGGTTACAGTCGTTGTTAAAGGATGCAGATGCTAAGAAAAATGAAACAGAAAGGGTGAGAAATTTCTTGGAAGATGTCAAGGACATTGTTTATGATGCTGATGATATAATCGAATCGTTTCTTCTGAACGAACTTAGAGGAAAAGAAAAAGGTATCAAGAAGCATGCGAGAAGACTTGCTTGCTTTTTAGTAGACCGTCGGAAATTTGCTTCAGATATCGAAGGTGTAACTAAGAGGATCTCTGAGGTGATTGTGGGAATGCAGAGTTTAGGGATACAACATATTACCGATGGTGGTGGACGTTCATTGTCTCTTCAAGAAAGACAAAGGGAGATCCGACAAACATTTTCTAAACACTCTGAAAGTGATCTTGTGGGGTTGGAACAGAGTGTTGAAGAATTGGTTGATCATTTGGTGGAGAATGATAACATTCAAGTGGTTTCTGTATCTGGTATGGGCGGTATTGGTAAAACCACACTCGCTAGACAAGTTTTTCATCATGACATTGTCCGACGCCATTTTGATGGATTCTCATGGGTTTGTGTTTCGCAACAGTTTACGCGGAAAGATGTTTGGCAGAGGATCTTGCAAGATCTTAGACCATATGATGAGGATATTGTACAGATGGACGAATATACACTCCAAGGTGAACTCTTTGAATTGTTGGAAACTGGTAGATTTCTGCTTGTCCTCGATGATGTATGGAAAGAAGAAGACTGGGACCGAATAAAAGCGGTGTTTCCACATAAAAGAGGTGAGCTCTAATTGTACATACATAAAGCACTTTACTTATACGTGATTATAAAAAGAGAGAGATGAAAGCAAGTTCGACACACATTGGTGATAGATGCCTTATATTCACTATCATGAAAAAAACGAGATGTTTTTTGCAGGTTGGAAAATGTTAATTACTTCCCGCAACGAAGGTCTTGGTTTACATGCGGATTCAACATGTTTTGCCTTTAGACCAAGAAGCCTTACTCCCGAAGAAAGTTGGAAGCTATTTGAGAGGATAGTAAGCTCTAGGAGAGACGAAACTGGTACGCTCTCATACATAAACTAAGACCAAGAATCTTATATTTTCTCTTATGAATCCTTAAGGCCAAGAAGTTTAATTTCTCTTTCGCTTTTAAATGTTTATATTTTATTCAATGCTCAAATCTTCAAATATATTATCTTGTGATGGTTTGCAGAATTCAGGGTTGATGAAGCCATGGGAAAAGAAATGGTCACATATTGTGGAGGACTACCGTTAGCCGTTAAAGTGTTGGGAGGGTTGTTAGCTAAGAAACATACAGTTCTCGAGTGGAAAAGAGTATATAGCAATATTGGAACTCAGATCGTAGGAAAATCTGGTTTAAATGACGACAATCCCAATTCGGTTTACCGAGTATTGTCTCTAAGTTATGAAGATCTGCCTATGCAGTTAAAGCATTGCTTCCTTTACATGGCCCATTTTCCTGAAGATTATAAGATAGAAGTAAAGACATTGTTCAATTACTGGGTTGCAGAAGGAATAATAACGTCATTTGATGATGGATCAACCATTCAAGATAGTGGAGAAAACTACCTAGATGAGCTAGTGAGGAGAAATATGGTTATTGTTGAAGAAAGCTATTTGACTTCGAGAATAGAGTATTGTCAAATGCATGACATCATGAGAGAAGTATGTTTATCTAAAGCCAAAGAAGAGAACTTTCTTCAAGTTGTCAAAGTCTCTACAGCTACCTTTAGTTC